TAGTAATAAAATAAAAATAAATTTTACTTAATAATTTATTGTCCTCTTATTTTTATAAAAAACAAATTAACATCCTGCTAATATAAATAATCAAATTATTAGAAAATTTTCTTGTTTTAATTAAGTATCTGATAACTTAAGTGTGACAACTAAATATCTTTTCAATAAATAAAATGTCGATTATTATAATTAGTGTTTTAAAATATTACAATACTATATATATATATATATATATATATATAAACTCTCAATTGCAGCATTGAGTCATTTGGACCCAAAACAAAAATTTTTGGACAATTATACAATCTGTACGATCGGTACTGAAATTCTGAATATTTAAAAAGTTTTGAACCTTCATCTATCAATCGCCGTAAGGAGTAGATTTACTTGTATTTTGTATTTCAAACAAGACGCTTTAGAATTTAAGTGTAATTTCTAAAGCTATAGTTGAGGCTAAGCTATTAAAAGCTAGTAGCTAACAGAAGTCAGTAAAAATATAAATAAAAAAGGATCATGACATAATGCGCATGTTTCACTCACATTACATGGATATATATCTCCATGATAATTCGAGAAACATAACTCAAGTCCTGAACCATATGAGTTTTTTACGGTATATACCGTCGTGACGCGACGCTTCCCTTTTGCTATTTTAATTATCTTTTTCCTCCTCGTTTATTCTTTCGACTCGTCAACTCTACGATCACCTATGTCTTTCTTTATTGAATATACGTGATGATTTTTCCTTATCGAACATGTTACCATCTTTCAACCGTGTGAAATTATATCTTTATAAGGAGATTGTATCACTGCGACAAGTGTTGCAGTACTTGAATTTTAAAATATTTAGTTTCTTTATGACACAATTAATAATTCACAATGGCGTGATCAATAATTACATTTCCAGTACTTAATTTATTAGAAAATTTTATTTGTAAGAAACTATAAACAGAAACTGTTAATGAACTTGAAATGAGATCTGCGCATTCAAAGAAGTTTAAAACAGATCGATAATCGATATTTGACATTATCTTATTAATAACTCATAAATTATTGGAATTTATATTATATCTCTGGAATATTTTTTTATATTATATTTTTTTATATTATATTATTTTTATTAATATCATGTCTACGTCAGAATGATTCAATAGAGAGAAACTGTATTGAAATCAAAAACTTAAAATTGGTCACAAACAGAAACTTTTATTTGTTCGAGTTTAAGTCGCGTTATTTTAAATATTATTAAGCTTTTTTCTATATATTAATTAATATAGAGAAATTACGAAACAATGAACAATCTCATAAAAGTAACAGAAATTGTTTTGCTAATTAAAAATGGTCCGAAATCAAGAGAATTAGAATTACATTTCGAATCCAAATCAGAAAAATATATGAAAAATATATGATATACACACTTACCTTATCAAGCCGGTCTCCTTTTGCTTGCCAATGAGGAATGTCAGTACACCATCAGTCATCTGATTCGCCCATGGTGGTTT